TTAGGGTTCTTTACTGCTGGGATGCTTTGACTGAGGTGATGCGGGCCAGGGAGCAGTCCTCAGATGCAAACGACATTTGCGAGGAGCTGTGCCGAAAGGACGGCGGAAGAAGGTCCTAACAGCACCTAAACCCTAAACCCTGGACATTTCCAGATTTTGCAGAAGGCCCTTGTTTTCAGATGTTTTCTAGTGGTGGAAGTTTGGAGGGCTCAGGCTCTACGGCTTCTTCTAAATGCTTTTAGAGTCGAAGGGCCTTCCTGTCAGGACCCTGGGCCCGCCTTTGTGCGGCAGAAGGCGCGGGACTTGGCTTCAGGGGTTTCAGGTTGAACTCCAAAGCAGAAACCGTCGTGGGCTTTCATGAGCCAAGATCTCACTGGTTTTCGAACTGATCGCTTCTTGCTTTTGACGTGTTGTGCGCGGGTGGACCGGCAAGCGAGCGTTGGGATGATTTTGACGCCTGAGCAGCATCCAGCACCTCCCGGGTTTCTAAAGCGCACTTTCATGCAGCGCAGCGAACTTCGAGAACTCCCCCCCTAACCCTAAACCCTAAACCCCTAAGCCCCTAAACCTAAACCCTAAATAGGACTCCCGTGTGTGGCGCTTCGATTGCTTCAGGTCGTGCAAGCCAGCCTTCACGCCTCAGTGGCAGATCTCCGAGCAACCTCTGCAGAACGCTTTCAGCGGAGGCCCAGGGTTTTGGGTTTAGGGGTTTTTAGGGGTTTAGGGTTTAGGGCCCTTTTAAAATTTAAAAGCATCCGGGCAGGGTACTATAGTACTGTAGGACTTTGCGAGGGTTCGTCGGATGTTTTCCGCATCATCATCCCCCCCCCCGACTTTACTAGAGCCTCGGAAACTTTCTGTTCTAGGGCTTCGGGTTTGGAGGTGTATGCGTAGGGCCTTGCGGATTCGGGCGGCTTGTAGCGCTTAATGAGATTAGGGCCACGGGCTGTTAGTGCTTGTTATACGTGGTGCAAGCATGTCAGTTGTGAGTCACGACGCGTGCCAGATCGCGTTCTGGAATTATGACGAGGATAGGTGCAGCATTCATGACCTGCTGCCGATGTAGATAAACACAGGCAGTGGCACGGTCATTGCAGATGCTAGACAAGGTCTAAGGTGTTGAAGGTTCGGCGATGGCACTAGGGATGGCACCCACACGCTTGAACCTGAAAAAGTGGTGTAGCAGACCCTCTGCCCAGCATCCCTTACTCGCAAGTTTACAACCCCGATTAAAACAAAGGCTTCAGACGAAAGCATTGCATGGGATGAGCACTTGGGGCATTCCAAGTAGCCACTGTCGTCTTCCGACTCTCAGCAATCTGTGAGACAGTGCCGTGGAAGCTTACGCCTTAAGCGCTCAACCCCAGGCCTCCGGAAGGGTTTCAGGATACAAGCCCCCAGCCGAATCCCTGTAGCACTTGAATGCCCGCCAAGCCCAGGGACTGTTGCAACACTAAACCTCTCTGCCGGTTTAGGACGATTTGGCGCCTAGGGCTTCCCCACTTTGACTCTTCCAAGCCCATGGACAGGATGGAGTTGGAGATGCAGCAATCCGCCTTGCAGGAGAGGGTCTACAGCTCTACGTATGTTTGTCATATATGCATGTGTGTATATACATAGATATATATATATATGTGTATATATAACGTGTCTATGTAACTTTTATGAAACTGTTAGTGCTTCTAGCCATGTGCTTCGGAAATGCGCATACACACACAGACACACACACACATATATATATATATACATACACTACGCGTATCGATCTATGTACTGGTATACATAAACAGATACGTATGCACACATCCACACGTGTCTAAATAAATAACAGGCAAAGTATATGATCAACACTACAGGCATACATTTCTATACAAATCAAAATCCTTGGATGCATACGTTCTTTACATGCATCCATACATCCATGCAGCTATGCATGCCTGCATACATGCATGCATGCATGCATGCATACATACATACATACATACATACATACACGCATACATACATACATACATACATACATACATACATACTTACATACACGCATACATACATACATACATACATACATACTTACATACATACATACATACATACATACATGCATGGGTGTTGCTGAAGCGCAAAATGGCAACACGAGAGCAACTAGCATGGACTCTTCGATTTATGTTCCGCCAAGTTTGTGAAACTCCAGGCTGTTTTTGTACACTGCCACAGCTAAAAAAGCCGAATCGATAAAGTTTCCAGACCGGTCGAGGGACCCCAACCATATCACGGCTATCAGGGCCCAAACGGCTCCACTGCTCAATGGAAGGATTGCCTGACCCAAGTATATACTAGCATCTACAAGAGGAGCAGATGGACCGATGGGGCAAACTACCACGTTACAAAACCCAAAAACCCTGAACCCTTGGAATGCTCAGGAAAGCTTCGGGTCATGGAAGCTTTATAGACCTCTTCTAGTAGCCCTTATAGAGCCCTTCGTGTAGCCCATATAGATGAATCAAGATAGCCCTTACCGTACACCTTATGGACCCCTTTTTATCAACCCTTATTCAAACACCCTTCTCCCGAGACCTTTCTAGAACCCATGTAGTGCCCATCGTAGTTTTTTTATATAGCGTCCTTCGTAATGGCAACCATGGTATATTGCCATTCATGGAACCCTCAGAGTAGCCTTCTTGCACCTTTGTGCAGAAAGCCTGTGAATCCGTAGAGTGCAGGAGAAGATTGGGCGCATGGAAGCTCACGCCTCGGAGCTGCTGGAAGAGGAGGCTTCCGTCCAGCAGGAAGAGGCGAAGGCGCCGGGGGGCCTTCACGGGTTTCATGATTTGATTTGGCCTCTATCAGGGTTTGCCGGGGTGCGGACCTGGGGGTCTCAGAACTTCGTTCAAGATCCTCGGGGTCTGATATGGGGACAAAGCACTTATTGGTAGAAGGTTGTGGTCAGCGTAAAGTTATCTATGTACCGCGGCTTGAGCTGTGTGTTGTTGTGCTTAGACCATGACTAGTAACTATTCACGGACATGTGCAAGGAAGAGCCTCCTTACTTGTTAGCAGAAGTGGTTGCAATGAGGCACGGGAGTTCGGGGCGAGGGGTCGGAAACTGCCATGATGATAGCAACAACATCACTCCAAGGCCTTATAACATGACTCCATGACCGGCTGCAGCCTTAAACAGTTGCACCCGGTTCAAGCTTGGATTGCGCACTTCGCTGTCTGGAGGTTGCGGCCAGAGCATCGGAGATGCCGAAGCCCCAGATCGGCTATAAGAGCTTACAAGAATGTCTCAGCACAGCAAAGACAAGTGCTTGCACATCATGACTTGTCAGGGCCTCTAGTGTCATCATGACCGATACGATCCGATCGACATCGGCCAAATCGACTCGATTATACGGCGATTTCTGGCGACCTTTCGGTTCCCCAGCTCCAATGTCCCACCTCCCATTTTCGAGGGGTGGGAAGTTGAGTGGAAGGGGGGGGGGGAGGAAGAAGGAGGTGCGGAGGAAGGTGAGGCGAAGGGCGGGAAAGTGGGGGGGGGGGGGGGGGGGGNNGATCAAGGACCCGATGGGATGCTGGTGTTGCGTAAGGTTGGCTTGGCATGTATTTTCATCTGAGGCATTCGAGTCTTTATCGTTGATGCTTCAGCCCCGCATCCGAAAAGCAGTCATCCCATCGCGGAGCAGGCGTATCGGCCGACCACCAATCCCTGAACCATAAAGCAGCAGTCGACACTGAAGTTGAGAGATGCGGGGAGTCGATCACAGCGGGGAAGAAGACCAAGGATACAACTTACTGGCGATTTCAGCCATCTTTCGGAAGTAGAGGTTTAGATGAGTGGCTTCGCTGATCCTAGTGAATGGCAGCGACAACCATGAACACGAGCCGGTCGCTGGGTAAAAATTTACTGCAAGAAAACTGTTAGAAACCAGCTCCTGAAACTTCAAAATGTGTTGCATAACGCCTGTACTTCTGTACTTCGAATGGCCGTTGGCCGTGATCTACCTATTGAATTATCTATCTATCCATCCATCCAT